AATTGACATTGACTAAAAAGTTTGCTAATACCCAGAGTTGGCGAGGGCAGAGAGAAATGGATATTCTCAAACATTGTTGGTGGGAGTGTAAATTGGCTCTACCTTTTCGGAGAACAACATGGTAACAGTTATTAAGAAGTAAAACATGGGTATTCTTTGTCTCAGAGGTTCCAACTCCTAGGAATTTAGCCTAGAAACATCCTTCTACAACGTGGAAAGATAAAGACAAAACTGCTGACTGCAGCACTTTTTTCTAATACTAAAAAAACTGGTAACAACTTAAAATTGGTCTGTCAATAGGTTAAAGAAAGTAAGCCATAGCCATAAAATTAAGTATAATGTAGTCATCCAAAAGAATGAAGTTGATCTGTGCACACTGATGTTGTTGGAAAGAGGCCCAATGTGTACTATTAAGTGCAGGCAGGGGAAACTAGTTCCAATATAATATATAATATGTACAGAGACAATTTCTGTAAGGTTACAAAAGAAAGTGTTAACTAATGACTTGGGGAAAATGGGGACTTTTACATTTTGCTGCTTGAATGTTTTTTTAAAGATCATCTATACCTTCCTAATTAAAAAATAAAATAAAATAAAACACTAGGTATTGAAAAGTACTTTAATTAGTTCTCTTGTAAAGAAGAAAGGACCTAGAAGGAGTAAGAAGAAAACGAGGTTAACAGCCATCAGTCCAAGAGGTGAATTCAGCACCAATGGGCCTCCCTTCCTTCATCCAGCTCTAACTCCCCTCAGAAAGACCATCCCCAGGGACAGAAGTCAGAAAGAATATAGACACTGCAGACCCTCGGACCCCTCAGGACAAGTGTGAGAATTTGAATTGGGAGCCTGAACTATCCACCACCTACCAATTATGTCCTGTGCCTGGGCAACAGCACAAATAATCCAAAAAAAGCAAAGTACCTACTTAGCTTTAGATCACATGCATTTTATAATTTCCACTTGAACATGGACACATACAACATCCATTTTATTCAACAAGGGTGTTTCTACAAGGCACGAGGCCAAACAGTAAGAAGAGAGCAAGAGTGCAATAAAATATGGTCCCTGTCACCAAGTCATTCAAAATCCAGTGAGTAAGGAACACATAATCAACCTAAGCATTACCTGCTCCTGTAAAGGTACCAGAGAGATTAACCATAATTGGGGAACCAGAGGTTTCACTGAAGAGATGGTATTTCTCAGAACTGAAGAATCTGTAAGATCACCCAAACTTTCCCCTCTTTTCCACTTACTCAAATCCTTTTCTCTACATTTATGTAAAACAGGTAAATTTGATGGTGCCCTTTCTCTTGTTGCTACATTCATATCACTAAATATAAAACCATCTCTTTTGTATAAGAAATCAATGGGTGTTAGGTATACTTTTCAGTATTAAATATATTACCACAAATATATCTTTGATTGAAGTTTTATGTATTCAAGAGCTATTCTATCAGACCCATAAACCACAGAAACAGCTCAACAATATCAGCAAATTAGCTTACAGACTATATCTTTTCCAACTGTTTCTTATACATAGATTCTACTTATGAGTTTAGATCTTTGGTTCAGAAAATGAGATCACCTTAGAACAATCATGAAAAAAGCAAGTCTAGGATTTGAAGTCTCTAATAGAAAGTACATGATAATCTAAGCACAAAAAACTATCATTATTTTGTCTGTGTGTGTTTTTGTTTTTATGTTTTTTCACCTAAAACTGGTCCAGGTATAGGTGGGTACAAAGCTGCTGCTCTTGGGGAAAAAAAGAAATGAGATATCTAAGAACTTAAACCTAAAAGTTAAAAAATTTTTTTTCTGTTAGTGTTAGACATACTTTTCAGTATTAAATATATTACCATAAATATTTTTTTGTTCTAAGTTTAATTTTTCAAGAGTTGTTTCATCATCCCCATATACTGCATAAAACATACTTTACACACTTAGCAGGCTTTCAACATGCTTGGTTATAAAAGAGCTCAAAGGTGTTTTTTTAAAAAGATTTTATTGGGGAATAAGGGGAGGGAACAGCGTTGGGGAATTGGAGAAGGGGAACAGACAAGTTGCTGTCATTTTGTTCTTCAGTCTAGTTGTGGAGGACGTTGCTTCACTGGCCCATGTTGGTATTGTGATCATTGCGCTCTTCCCGGGTGAGGCAGATTGGTCACCAGCCATTGGATGGCTGCTCACGAAAGTGCAGGCCCTCTGCCGGCCAGTCCCACTGCAGCCTACGCCGTCGCCAGTGACTCATGGCAGCCCAGCTCCAGGTCCAGCTGTTGTTCACCATCTCAGCTGTAGAGGGCGCAGCATCACTGGCTCTCATGTGGGATCTGAACCAGGGCCCTGCTGCTCAGAGCTGGTGTCCCAAAGCTAACTCCTAACCAATGCGCCACTCCGACAACCCTAAAGAGCTCAAAAGTTTTCCACTCAAAAAGAACTGTATTTAAAATCCAAACTTCACCACTTCCTAGCTGATCACCGTTGGCAATCATTTCACATCTCTGAGCTTCAGTCTCCTCCCAAGTCGAATCTTCCTACCTCACAGAGGTGTCATAAAGATTAGCAACAATCTAGGTAAATCATCTAGTACATCATCTGGCACAGAGCAGGCCATCAATAATGATAGCTAAAGTAATCAGGAACCTCACTCTGGAAGCCTGTGGGGCACAGGTACGTTCAGCCACTCTGGGGGACCCCAAAAGCAAGAAGTAGAAAGTACAAAGCTTTTCTGCCACACGTAAGAACATTCAGAATACACGATTTCAAGGATTATGACAGCTCTCAGAACAAGTCTCAGCAGTGGTTGAGTATGTATCTACACTCTGGAGTCTATTCCAAAAATTTCACGTTACCACTTATTAGCTTTAAGACTTTGAGCAGGTTGCTTAAAGGAAATGTCCTTTCCTCAACTGAAACAGAGCCAATAATAGGCCGTCCAAGTACTTCGTGGGGATCTTGCGAAGGTTAAATTAAGTGAGATAACTTCCCATGTAATGCCCTTAGCACAGCATCTGGAAACAGTAAATACTTCAAATTTTAACTATCAGACATGAAATCCCTGGCACCCAAGGAGTTACTGCAAGGGGTCTGAAGAGCTTGCAACACTACCATGTATTTCAGATATGTGCTATTTTTCAACAGTATATCGAGTCCAGTGTGGCTAATAAAACACTATTTTAAGAGTTCTATTCAAGTAGCTTTTAAAAACATGTAATGATTGTTGAAAAATACTCAAACAATAGTGAAATATATCAAGTAAAAAGTGTGCTCATTCAGCCACCCCTCCCCCATTCCAGCCCCAAGTCCCCCTTCCAGGGGAAACCACTGAAAAGCACTGTAACAGGCACCTTCAGATCCTTGCCTCTCAATATATACGTGAAATTGGGAGGAGGAGGGATTAGCTTTTTTACAAAATGAGATCATACCATATACATTATTTGTTTATTCAATAATATATCATGGATATCTTTCCATGTCAATGCATAAAATCCAAACTCATTCCATATAGCTACTGCTTAATGCTTCAGATTATAAAGAAATAATTTACTAATCTCCTATTCTAGGCATTCAGCTTACTTCTAATTTTTTGCTATTAAAAATAATTCCAGGGCCGGCCGAGTGGCACGATGGTTAAGAACTGGCTTGGGACGCCAGAGGGCCCCGGTTTGGATCCCACATATGAGGGCCAGTGACACTGCCCTCCACAGCTAAGATGCGGAACAACAGCTCAACCTGGAGCTGGGCTGCCGTGAGTCGCCAGCGACGGCATAGGCTGCAGCCCCTGTGGCAGTGGGTTGCCATGGGCTACTGTGTGTAGCCAGCAGCCAGCGTGAGCGGCCAGCAGCCGCAGTGAGCGGCCGTCCAGAAGCAAGCGACTGATGTGCCTCGCCCGGGAAGAGCGCAATGATGGTGCCAACTTGGGCCAGTGAAGCAACGTCCTCCACAACTAGACTGAAGACCAAAACGACAGCAACTTGTCTGTTCCCCTTCCCCCAATTCCCCAGCGCTGTTCCCATGCCCCCAATTCCCCAATAAAAATCTCAAAAAAAAAAATAATAATAATAATTCCACAATGAACACTGTTGGAAGGGCATTCAACCATGCGTAGGTATGTCTGTTAGATATCTTCCTAAAAGTAGATCTACTGAGTCAAAGGTTTTGCACATTTTATATTTTGATAAGTACTGCCAAACTGTCCTCCAAAGAGAATGTAAATAAAAGGGAGGACATTGCACTGTGTTTACCATCTGCTTAAAAAGCAAGAACAAAATGTATACTATTGTGTGGAGAAACCGTACATTTTTCTACATGGAAAAGTGGCCCTCATCTTCAAAAAAGAGATGGGAACTACAGTTACAAATCCTTTATCCTCAATGCCAGAGCCCCTATGCTACTGACTAAACTCAAATCTTAACATTACTCAGACCCTGACCTCTCCTGCAATGACCTGGGTCATGTCAAAACCAGTTTTCTAGTCTACCCTGCCCCTGCCCCAGTCCCTAAGCCAACTGGTTTGGTGTGGGGGGCAGCAGAGGGAAGGACGCAAGACCTGAAGTGTTGCTGTCATCATCTAGCAGCAACGCCGGCCTCACAAAAACAAAATTATTCCATTCAATGTGCACTTAAAAGCTCTACTCTGTTGCTATTTTAAAGCAGCAATGGATTAAAACCTCTTAATCAATAATCATTGGTCTATAGGTAGTTTACACGTTTCATTTTATCCCACAATATTATTACAGTGAGGAACAAGAGCAGATAAAGGTCATGTTGGTAATTAAAGCTATATTATAGAAATATGCACATGCAAGATATGATTAAATAAGAAAATATTACTCGGTTAAGTATCATCATTAAACTTGCATTAATTTATAAATATTTAAATGTACCATATGATGATCATAAATAATCTGTTTTTGTCAGTTTCTAAAGTAATGCAACCCATAAACCCTTTGAAAAATTACTGCAGAAAGAAATAGTCAAGAAACTATACAAGCCAGACTTACATTCAAATGCTGTGGTTGTTGCTTCAGGCAGAACCTGGCCTATCACATCCTAAACAAAGAAAAGAATAAAGAAACACAATTAGCCATCTTCTTTATAGCTAACATGTGGCAAATCCTAGAGGAAATATGAGAACCTGGAGAAGATTTTTGAAATGTAGGCATAAACTACAAAAACATTAGCTCATAATCACACTTAGCCAAGCAACGTAAGCCCAGAGTTTAAATCTCTATTCAGGAGCTGGAGTGGGTGTGGAGCGGTAGAATCTTTACAAAACCTTTCCTACTTTGTATTAATAACATAATCTTTCACTCTCCACTCAGTGTATACAAATACACTGTTGTTGTGTTTACAAAAATTTGGTTTCTTCTATGGGAGGCTGTGGAAAGTACTGCAGTACAAAGAGTAAGGTGTCTTGGAGTCAGTCTGGCCTGGGATTAAATCTCAGCTCTGCACTTAACTGTGTGACTGGGAACAAATTACTTAACCTCTCTGGGCCTCAATTTGGTGATGCTCCAATATGCGTCTAGTAATACTTACAGAGGTAATGTAAAAATTAAATTAAATAATGTAATAAACACAAGCTAGCCTAACACATTATAGACATTCAACAAATGTACTTCCTGATACATAACTAGCAACACCTTGCCTTGCATTCATAGCGGGAAAAGTTCAGAAAAACAAGTTTCCGTGATCATGATATAAACCCACAAAGCTACATTTAACACAAACGATTCTTACCAACCTTTACTCTTAAGCAACTGAAAAACATGTCTATAATGATACTGAAATAAAGTTAATCTAGCCTACAAGAAAATTTTAAGTGTATGAAATCTGATATCAATGTTTAAATGAATCTATAAAGTTGAAACACTTGAAAATTAGTCTACAAAGGCAGCTTAATTAAGGAGGCGCAGAACACTTCAACAAAGTCAGCTCTGGGAAAAGTGACCCTCCTTTACGTGCAGTCCAACTCAAATGGCCCGCAAACTTCATTGCTCTCATGGAGCTCTGCCCAACATCCCTCCTGGGCTGTGCCCAAACTGGTACCAGGCAGCAGGCTAACAGGCAAGGCGCTGGAAGTATTTCTCAGTAGGGAGCCCACAATCCTTCCAAGCAGGGCACTTAGCAGAGAGGAGGATGCAACTGCCTTCTAAAGGCAGTCCTTTAAGCCTTTGCTGCAGTGGCAATTTGCATAATAGCCTTGCCTCTACAGTGCTTTTTTTCTTTTTTTAAAATAAATCTATGCATATAAAATTGATCAAGGGAACTATATTAGGCAGCCCTCCTCAGTAGGGCTGAAGATTATTTTTTCCTGACTCGTCTTAGCAAATGAAACACCAACTTTTAGATAAAAAGCATTTGTCAGAGATTTTAGTGTTAAAAAAATTTGTTTTCGACACACTTGTAGGAAGAAAGTATTTATTAACAGGTATATGGAAGCTGTAGAGTGAGGATGAAATAAACTACACAGGCAGCCAGTGCAACACCTGCGAGTGTGGACTGGAGCCAAACTGCTGGAGTTGGACCTTCGCTCCGCCACTCATTAGTTAAGTGATTAAGCCTCAGTTTCCTTCTGTGTAAAATGAGCTCTTAACTATAGTTACCTTGTAGGACTAAATGAGTTGATATTTGAAAAGTGCTTAAGAGTGCCCATACTATTGCCCATACTATTGTCTATTAAATAAATAAAACAAGTCACTGATGACTGGAACATTACAAAGCTTACCGCATGAAACCTTAAATTTCAGCTTACAACCATCAGTGGAGGATGGTCCTTCGTTCACTTCCTTCATTCTTCCCCAGTATTTATTGAGGACCGTTTCTAGCCAGTATTGGTTTAAAAAAAAAAAAAAGGCGGGGGGTTCCACCCCCAACCCTCCAAGTCTAGGTTATCATTGTTTACTTATGGAAACTCTGATCATTCAGACAACCAATCTTGAGATATGAACTCTACAGTATTAGCAGACTCATTTAGGACATTTCCTACTTATGAATAGCAGACCCCATCAAACAGCAAATTTCTAATAACTAGCTGAAAACCCTGCTGGGCAGCAATGGAATACTTTGCCCATCAACATAAACAAGGAGACACACATGCTTTACATCTACTATGGGGGGAAAGGAGGAAGAAAAAAAGCAAACCTGCTTGAGAGAATCACATGCACACAACCGGCCATCTTGTTTTGTTAAAGCAATTAAAAAGGGGGGGCTATCATAACAACAAGGGTAAAAAGTCTGAAAATTAGTCAATGTTTACTGGCCATTTCTAAGCAGGGCACATTTAATCATTTTATGTATACTTTCCAGTTATATCTTAAGTGATTTATTTCAAAGCGATTCAGTCTTCTCAACATAACATTTACCCGACCTAAAGAAGGTTTTAAAAGAAAACGTAAGTTTAAATATCTTGATGGTGATCGTTTGTTCATCCTTTTCTTTCATTAAATCAGTCAAAAATCTGACAGACCAAAAATATAAGCATCTACAACGTGCCAGGAGCAAAAAAATCACAAAACTGCTACACGATAGAAGAATAAGATTTAGGAAGATCATAATCTGGTCACAGATATAAAGATAAACCTCAGACTAACAATACAAAGCACTTATAGTATGATCAGGAGCCAAACAAAAAACCGTAAGTAGCATGTAGTATTTACCAACTCAGGAGGCAGGAAAAAATCACAGGCTCAGTGTTAACTGAAGTTTCACAGATGAGAGGAAATCTGAACTGGGACGTGGGAGACAGGATTCAAACAAGATGAAAGGGGGTACATTCTCTCCTACCACCCACTAATTCAGGAGATTCAGAATCTCCTGCACAATCTTCCCCAAACTGGGGAGTATGTCTCCAAGGAAGAAGAGAAACACAGATAGTAGAAAAACACATACGCAAATAACTCTGCCCTTGAGCACCAGCTAGGCCTACTGCACACTGCACAGTCCCTAATTAACTCAGACAAAGGACACATGCCCAAAAAGGCCAGGTGACTTGCCCAGGGTCTCCCAGCTATTTGATGCAGCTGTGACTGGAGCCCTCAACTACTGACTGATTCCAAAATACAGTACTCAGTTACGGTTGACTCAGTAACTAAAAACTATTTTGGCTTCTGTATCTGGTTGTGCCCAAATCTAGCTGTGTGGCTTTAGCATTTCCCCATTCTGGGGTTGATCCTTCCTCATGTAAAAACTGGGGCGAAGAGAGTTATATGAGATGAAGATGATGCTTCCAGGTTTCATCTGACTTTAATTTTTAAAGTTCCAATCCAGGGATGCTGATAACATCTGTTGGTATTTTGCCAATTTCTTGATGAAGAGATGAGGTGAACATGGAGAAGAGATTGCAGGAGTCCTCCAAGATCTGGGCTCCCAGTTCCAAGAACTTTAAGGGGCACTAGGAGATTGCACAGCACCCACTGCCACAAGCCCCTGATCAGGCTTTCCCAACAAAACATGCTGCACCTGGGCTTACACTCTGCGCTCTAGATCAGCGGTTCTCAACCTGTGGGTCGCGACCCCCTTGGGAGTCGAACGATCTTTTCACAGGGGTCGCCTAAGACCATCGGCAAACAAAAAGATATTTACATTATGATTCATAACAGTAGCAAAATTACAGTTATAGAGTAGCAACAAAAATAATTTTATGGTTGGGGGTCACCACAACATGAGGAACTATATTAACGGGTTGTGGCATTAGGAAGGTTGAGAACCGCTGCTCTAGATGGTGGGACTGTTTGTGCAAAGTTTACTTTTAGGCCAGTCAGCCTTATGATAAGGTACAGCTGCGAGATGCTTGAGACGCAGAGAACCCAGGCCCTATCCCTTAAGTTGTAACAACACCACAACCACTCATAGAGCACTTACTATGTTCCAGATCGTTCTAAGTACTTTACATGGATCAACTCCAGTAGTCCTCAGAATTGTGAGGTAGGCACTATTTTTATCCCCACCTTTTTATTTTTTTAACAGATGAAGAAACTGAGACACAGAAGACATTTACCCAAGTGAGTCTGGTAGGGCTTGCAATTTAAACCCAGGCATTCTGGCTCTAGAGTTTGTGTTTTTTAAACACTGTACCATTCTACTTAAAATACCTTCTGCTATCTCAAGTGAGTAAAGTGAAAGAAAGCTCATGTCTCTTTTATCATAGACACAATCTCACATATTCTTCACCAGTCTTTGAGGCAGGTATCATTATCCCTATTTTATAAGTAAGGAAACTGAGGCTCAGAGAGGTAGAGTGACTTGCATAGTTAGTGGAACTGCTTGCCATTAAACCCAAATTTCTTGATTCAAAACCTAGTGCTCTGCTCACAAAACCATAATTGCATGCATTTTCTTTGAAGCTCCCTCATTATACAAATATTTCAGGGTCCTATGAAGCACCAGAAACAAAGGAGAAACAGAGATGGCCATCTCCTCCACAAATTTACCATCTAGTGGAGGGGAAAGACAAAATTATGACAAAACCTATGTGATTTGCCTGAACAAAGCTGTGGGGACACAGAGGAAGGGCAAGTGGCCAAGACTAATGTGGAGGAAAACTGAAGGTGGGCTTTGAAGGAGAGGTGGGACTCAGCCAGCTAAAGAAGGGCTGAGTGAGCATCTGGAAGAACTGAAGGTTAATTCTAGAATACCTGGAGTATAGGATGATCACTGCACTGTGATGAGAGATGAAACTGATGACAGGCAGGCAAGAGCCAATCAAGATGGGCCCAAAGGACCATGCTAAGGAGTTGGGGCTGTATCGTGAGGGGAAATCTATGTGCATGTGAGTGTGTGGAGAACTCCAATGCAAAGAGAAGAATGGCATTTGATGCACAAGACTAGAGGCTGCTGGTTTACTCCAGGCTCTACATCCTGGCCCAGACACCTGAAAATCTCTATGGTCTTGGTCAGTAACATCCAGAACTCAAAACGAAGGTACAGGGATCAAATTTTGCTTGAGTAACCCACGACAACCAAAAATCACATCACAGATCTTCCTCCTCCTAAACCCCATCTTATCTTGCAGGTAAGTTCCACTATAGAACTGGTACTTGCAACGTGCTTCTTGGTATGTCAGCTCTGCCTTTGATACCTCAGTTATTCAATATATAAAATGGGCATGATGCGTTCTGTAAAAATAAGGAAATCTGAGCTCTGGTACTGACTCCCCCACTCACAATCAACATGGCTTTGGAAAAGCCATGTCACTTCACTCATCCTCATTAACTATCTGCAAAAAAGAGAAAAGGGATCAACAGGCCAACTCCAAGCAGGTTACACTGTGCTCTCACATTCCATTTTATTTCAATTACATGTGAGTATTTATTATGAAAGTAAGAATACATCATTGATTCTAATATGCACATTTTCCCCCTATTTTCACATCTGTGAAATCAGGCTGCTTTTGTACAATGTGTGGCATGTAACAGTTTAATGGGTATTTTTTTCTTAGTGGTACATAAAATATGTTAAACCCAAAGACACCTTAGGTTTCCTGAAACATGATAGGTTACAGCTGCCTTGTTTCCCTTTCCCACTGGTCACCAAGTTCAGGGAACTCAGTGGAAAAACATGGTTGGAATGTGGCCAGGGACATTCCGCGAAACACTTATGAAAAAAAGCTCTCTTCTAGACTCAGCTTTTTGTATCCCAGTTTGTTGCTTCTGTGCCTAAGTCCCAGTCCAGGCTGTGAGCTCCTTGAGGAAACGGGTTCAATCTGATCATCTCTATGTTCCCCAGGGCCCGGCACATTTGCCAGATTTCCGTGCATGAAATTAATCAATGCTCGTGGTTGAAGCAATAAACTGCCCCTACAGGAAGCCAGCAGTGGCCACCACTAGCTCAGGCCACCAGAGTTAAAAGATTCAGTGGTCAAGGGCTGACTGCCTCACAAATCCCTGCGCAGCCCTTCGCTGGGATTTGGATACTGAGATTAGCACTCACCAGCACATCCCTGAAGAGTAACTGCGGCCCGGAGTGCACTGTCCAGTCCACCGCGCCACTATTTGGAATCTTGATGCGAATCACCAGCACCTGGTTCTCCATGGCATGGGAGGGTCCAAAGGCCAGCCACAGCATTACAGGTTACAGGGGCTCACATCCTGGGGTAGGGAGTATCCGCCGGCCCTGCTTAGGTGGGGCCTCCAAGGGGGCCGAGGGAAGAGGACGGAGGGCGAGGAGTATCAGAGAGGAGGGGTGGTCAATAATGGGCCCGCAGGCACCGACCCAGGCCCAGGCGGTATGGGGTTGAGGGATGTCTCCCTGTGATCGTGGACGGGGCAAGTGGCAGGGACCAGTAGGAACTAGAGGAGGTCAGAAGATTCTGGAGTTGGAAAAGAGGGTAAAATGGGATGGTGCAGCTGTCCGCCGTCTGTATGGGTGTGAGAAGACGGCTGCGAGATGCCACCGTTTCAGGGAAATACAGCGGCAGGTGTCCACTCCTCCTTAGAGGATGATGGGAGGGTCCCAGACTGGAGGGGACTCAGTCCGGAGCTATTAGGAAGTAGCCCCCCTGGGCCGCCCGCCCACGAGAAAGCCTACGGGGGCCCTCCGCGGGGGATTAGGGGGCGAGTCTTCTGCCCCACCCTGAGCTAGAGGGCACGGCGCACGCGGGCTCAGCCCCTGCCGCCCGAGATCGCGTGTTCTGGTGGCGGCGGCAGCGGTGGCAGCAGTAGCGGCGGGAGGAGAAAGAGGAAGGCGGCGGCGAGGACACAGTTACTCCGGAACCAAAATGCGCGGCGCCGGAACCACCGGAGCCGGCAAGTGGGACCCGCCTCCCCCGGCGCCATGATGGAAGAGGGCAGCTCCCGGCCGGCCCCGCCCCTGCGCCCCGGAGGGCGGGGCCCGAGGAGCAAGCGCTTCGCCTCGGGCCGAGAAGGCGGGAACGGACTGGGCCCGCCCACTGGCGAGACCTCAGTCGCCAAGTGACCGCCTGCTGCGACCGAGTGACGGCCTTTCCTTTCCTGATCCTCATTAAAGGCCGCGAGGTGAGAACGTCTAACAATCCAAAGACGCAACTGAACCAGCGCTGGAGTCCGCCAAAAGCCACGTAACTAACGGCTGAAAATTGCGCACTGTTTGTTTGCCTTTTACTGACGCCTCAGAAAAGACAGAACTGCAGTTCTCCTTTCTCCGTACTTTGTCAAGCTGGTACCTAAACATCCGTGCATCCGTGGGGGTTTGTGCACCAGATCAACAAGAGCAAGGCAGGAACTAAAAAAAAAAAACACAAAAAAACTATCTTTTTCTTTTCTTTCTTCCCAGTCACAGATCCAGAGGCTCGTCTTCTCCCGCATTCGCAAAGCGTGTAAGACTTTTTTACTGAAGTTCTTTACTCCCATGATTGCACTGAAATAGCAAGCAGCTCCCTATGCAAAAGCAACTGTAAAGAAATTCGGTGAAGAGTTTTAACTGCCTAGGGACAGCTGCAGTAGTGCCATCATCTTCTCTTACTAAACCTTTACAAAAAATATCTGGTCTAGTCCATAAATTTTGAACTAATTAGCAATGTTTACACAATAAGTGATATCACAGGCAGGATCGATAACCCATGGTTATTTTTAAATGCCTTGTTAACCTCAGATTTTAAAGTGCATAATTTTGTTGATCTATGATGCCCGTACAAATGTTTGGTCACAAATTGCAAAGTGTAGGTTTGTCCTTTTATCTTTCTAATGAAGGTGTACATGTGGCTTTACTTTTGGGGTCTGAATTTTGTATAAACCGGTGAAGGAGTGTCAATTTACCCTCTTAACAGTCAATGCAAGAAAAGATATTTTAAATGTTGGTTGGTTTTAATATAATACCAACATTTTTTCTGCATATGTTTTCTGCCTAAATTTCCCTTATATTTAATTTGAAAGTCAATTGTAGGAGATAAATTATCTCTTCAGTTTGGTAAATTAATAGCTTAGGTAGAAATTCATTTACTCAGATCCCCCAGATAGTCTAGGAATTGCCCCTTTTAACCTGCACTTCAGTCCTGTGAAAAATAAGCCATTTGCTCAAGGTCCCCATGTATTTTCGTATTGAAAAGTTTATTTCCTATTATTAGAGAAAACAGAACACAAAACTATAGAGATTTTCTATGAACCTATGATTTGTTAAAACATATATGATTTTCCCCCTATTTATACTATTAGGCGGAAAACCAATTCAGTCTGTAATTTCAATTCTTTTTTATATATACTCAAAAGGGGAATTACAATGGTAATTCTATTTTTTGTTTTTTGAAGAACTGCCACACTGTTTTCCAATGGCTACACCATTTTACATTCCCTCAAACAGTGCACAAATGTTCCCATTTTCCACATCTCCAACATTTATTTTCTGTATTTTTTATAATAGTCATTCTAATGGGTGTGAGGTTTTGATTTGCATTTTCCTAGTGATTAGTCATGTTGAGCATCTTTTCATATGCTTGTTGGCCATTTGTGTATCTTTTTGGGAGGACTGTCTATTCAAGTCTTTTGGCCATTGTTTAATCCAGTTATTTATCTTTGTGTAACTGTAAAGTGATTTTTTTAAATGAGGAAAATTACATTTTACTACTATAAATTCAGAGAGGTTTTCTTTCATCCCTTTTTACCTTGCACTCAATCTTGAATCCTTTACCCAGAATCTGACCCTTTCCCACCACTTCACTGCTATAGTCCAAACCACCATATGTCTCTCCTAATCTTCTGTTTCCACCTTGACCCCTACTACCAACAGTCTGTTCTCAACCCATTTGCCAGAGTTAGATCAAGTCACTCCTTTGGCTAAAACTCTTCAGATGGTTTCCTAACTTGAGCGTAGTAAAAAACTAAAGTCCTTTCCTTGACCTTTGAAACTCTAAACTCATTCTGCACTCCACAAACCTCATCTCCTACTACTCTCCCTCATTCTCAACAGCCTCTTTCTCACTGGTCCTTGAACTTATCAGGCATCCCACCTCAGGGCCTTGCATTTGCCACTTCCCCTTCCAGGATTGCCATTACCCCCAATTGCTCACTCCTGCACATTCTGCAGGTCTTGACTTAAATGTCACCTTCCTGCTGGGGCCTTCCCTTAGCACACTGTTGAAAATTGCAAACCAGCCCCAAACCCACCCCACCCATAGATACAAGCACAAAGTGTGCATAATTCCTAGTCCCCTTCCCTGGTTTATTTTCCTCCTGGCACTTACTACTATCTAATAGATGACATGTTTTACTCATTGGTTTGTCTGTCTCCCCACTAAACTATAACTTCGTGAGGAGAGGGAACTGTATGTGTTTTACTCACTGTATATCCCTGGTACCTAAAATAGTACCTGGCACACAGTGGGCACTTTAATAATTTTTGTTGAACGAATGAGTGGATTTTGAAGGCAAAGTAGATTAATAGGAATGCAACTACCATGTGCATCTTCTGCCTGTCTTCAGCCTCCCTTGTTCCCTTTGCCTTTCCATCACCACCCCATCAAGACAGACAACAGGGCCAGCCAAGTGGCGCATGGCACGTTGGTTGAGTTGCCTTGGGATGCCAGCTGTGCGCAGCAGGGCCCTGATTCGGATCCCACATGGACCAGTGATGTTGCGCCCTCTACAGCTAAGATGGTGAACAACAGCTCAACCTGGAGCTGGGCTGCCGTGAGTTGCCAGCGATGCTGTAGGCTGCAGCCCCTGCTGCAGTGGGCTGCCGTAAAGCTACCATGAGTGGCTGGCAGCCGGCAGCCGGCATGAGCTGCCAAGAGTGACCGTAGCGGCCTTCCAGTGGCCAGCGACGATCTGCCTCACCTGGGAAGAGCACAATGATAATACCAACATGGGCCAGTGAAGCGACGTTCTCCAGAACTAGACTGAAGAACAAAAGGACCGCAACTTGTCTGTTCCCCTTCCCTGATTCCCCAATGCTGTCCCCCTCCCCCAACTTCCCAATAAAATCTTTAAAAAAAAAAAAAGACTGAGACAACAACCATTACAGACTCCCACTGAACTGCAAATTTTATAACAATATTGATTGCCTCCTATGTTCAAGAATTCCATTTGTGGGCCGGCCGAGTGGCGCGATGGTTAAGAACTGGCTTGGGATGCCAGAGGGCCCCGGTTTGGATCCCACAGATGAGGGCCAGTGACACTGTCCTCCACAGCTAAGATGCTGAACAACGGCTCAACCTGGAGTTGGGCTTCCATGAGTCGCCGGTGACGGTGTAGGCTGCAGGTCCTGCTGCAGTGGGTTGCCATGGGCTACCGTATGTAGCCAGCAGCCAGCGTGAGCGGCCGTCCAGAAGCCGGTGACTAATGTGCCTCGTCTGGGAAGAGCACAATGATGGTGCCAACTTGGGCCTGTGAAGCAACATCCTCCACAACTAGACTGAAGAACGAAACGACAGCAACTTGTCTGTTCCTCTTCCCCCAATTCCCCAGCGCTGTTCCCATCCCCCAATTCCCCAATAAAAATTAAAAAAAAAAAAAAAGAATTCCATTTGTCTCCTTCAGTGCCTAATATGGGCCCTTACATATAACATTCAAATATGTGTTGATTAATTTTGATTTAAAAGAATATAATGAGAATAGAGGATGAAAACAGTAACTTTCCCATGGAGAAAGCTGGCAGACATCATCCTATCCAAGTGATCAAGTTAACTTCACCAGTTGTAAGTCATGTTGTTACCATGTACTCTCTGATATGATGTAATAAGAAGGGTATTTGACCTCTGTAGTCATCTTCCCAAAACTCATAACCCTAATGTAATCATATAAACGTCAGACAAACCCAAATTAAGGGACAGTCTACAGAATACCTGACAAGTACTTCTTAAAACTGTCAGTCATAGAAAACAAAAAACAAACAAACTGTCACACACCTGAGGAGACTAAGGAGACATGACGATTAAATGTAATGTAGGGTCCTTAATGGAATCCTGGAACAGAAAAGACAGTAATGAAAAACTGGTGAAATCTGAATAAAGTCTGGAGTTTAGTTAGTAATAATGTACCAATGTTGATTTTTTAGTTTTGACATATGTATAATGATTATATAAAATGCTAACATTAGAGGAATCTGGGTGTGGTATATGGGAACTCTATACTATATTTGAAATATTTCTATAAATCTAAAACTATTCCAAAATAAAGTTTTGTTTTTTTAAAAAAGTTGCATTTCTACACACCAGCAATAATGTTTTAGAAACTAATTTTAACAAGATATAATTTATAATAGCAATAACTATTCTTGCTTTTTACAAAGAAGAATATGAAGAAGCATGGACAAAAATGACTAAAGTATGACAGGCAAGTCTGCTCTCTTCTTTTTGGCAGGACTGGAAAAGAACAGTGGGACTAATTCCAGCCTTTCTGCAGGAGCAGAAACAATTCAGTAGATATTCATGGTGGAGCACCTACTATGTGCCAGGTACTATGGATTTTAGATGCTCTAAAATGAATTAATTCATTAATTTAAAATGTCATTAGATTTAATTCTGCATAATAAATTTTCCTTTAGATTGGGGTGGGCTGGTTGTTCCTACAAATCACTTAAGCTTTATTATTTCGCTTTTTTCATTGTTTAAACATATCTATATAATATTTTCTTTATATTAACTAACAAAACATATCTCACATTTTTGTGGCTCTTTACAGCTTGCAAAGCACACATCTGTTTTCTGATAGAATTATCCTGTGCATCATAGAAAAGTATAGAGAGTAATGGTTAAGAACATGGAGTCTGTAGACAGACTGCAGGGATTGGAATAACACTCACCAGGTGTGACCTTGGGCAAGACTTCTTGGTTTTCACAGGTAAAAATTGGGAATAGAAATAGTGCCTAATTCATAGGGC